CCTCAGCTCCCGCCTCTCACGATCAAGTCCTCACTGGACATCTTCACTCAAACCTGTCACATGTTTCTTGAATCTGGAATTTCCCCCAAAGGCCCATAGGCTGAAGGCTTGGGCACCAGCCAAAGGTGGTGGAATCCTTTAAGAGGCAGGGCCAAGCGGGAGGAAGTTAGGCTATTGGGGGCGTGCCCTTGAAGGTGATGTTGGACCACGCCCCTTCCTCTCTCTTTCTTTGCTTTCCGATCATCATGAGGTGAGTAGCTTTGCCCCGCCACATACTCCCCTCCTGATGCTCTGTCTTGCCACAGGCCCAAAAGCAATGGAGCAAACTATGGACTGAAAACTTTGGATCTGTGAGCCAAACTCAACCTTTCTTCCTTACAGATTTATTATCCTGGGTGGCCACAGCAAGGGAAAGCTGAATAAAATGCTCCTCAAGTAAAAAATTTCTGTGGTGCTGGGCATGAATGGAACCTGGGGCCCACACATGCTAGGCAAGCACTCTACCATTGAGCCATACCCTCAGTCTGTGTAGCAGAATTCTCGAGTTTGTCACCAAATCTCTTCCCTCCCTTGAGTTTTCCCATCATCCACGTATGTATCCAATCCCCAAGCTCCAGGTTCACCTTGATTCTCTTCTTCACCTAACCAATCAGCACATTCTGTAGACTTTGCCTCCTAAGTGTTTAGAAGATGTAATTCGTCAGCTTTTCGTTGCTATAATGAAAGACTTGAGGCAAACTATTTGATTAAGAAGGAAGGTTTTTTTTTTAGCTCACAGTTTTGGAGGCTAAAAGTTCAGATAGCATTGCATAGGCCCTGATTAGGGTCCCTCTGGCTGCACTACATCATGGTGGGTGTGCATGTGTGTACCTCCTTGGATCTGTATGGTCTCTCTCTCCTTCTTATAAAGTCATCAAGATCCAATCACAGGCACTCCGCCCCAATGACCTAATCTAATTACTTCCCAGTGGTTTTACCTCTAAACACCATCATCAGATTAATTTTCCTCTTAATATTAATAAGACTTCAGGATTAAACCCCTACATGAATTCAGGGGGTTTAATTCACCGTGTTCTAGCCATAGCAGAAGATATCTCTTCTCCCTGGGTCCAGGCCCTGCCTACACCCCCCCACCCCCCACATCATCACTGTGACCTCCCTCTGGTGTTTTGTGTCCATGCTGGCCCAGTGCTATCGATTCTCCCCAGAGCAGCCCAAGGGATCATTTAAAATGTCAATCAGATTATATCACTTCCCCCACTAAAAGCTTCCAAAGATTTCCCAATCCCATCTAGGATAAAATCCATTCTCCTCCGTGGGGCTGACGAGGCTTAAGTGATCTGATCCATTCCTGTCTCACCCCATGACTCACCCCATGTCATTGTCCCTATTCTTTGCCCTGTCCTAGCCACAACTGATCTCTTATTCCTTGCAGTCACCAAACTGTAGCAGCCTCTGGGCCTTTGCACCCCCAGTTCTCTTTGCCTGGGTGCCGTTTCCCCCAGTCTTTCCATGGTTAGCTCCTCCCACTCCCCAGGTCCTATCTTCCCTGTTTCCGACACGCAGAGTTGATTTCCTCAGCAGCGGGTTTTGAACTTGACAGTCCTATTTGTCTGTTTACTTGTGTTTTATTTGGACTCTCTCATTAGAGATAAGCCCCAGGGGTGCAGGGAGGGTGTTTTTCACCATCTAGTTTCTAGTTTCTGGTCTAGTTCCACCGTCCAGTTTCTATAGGATACAGTGAACTCTGTTGAGTGAGTGAATGAATGAGCCCTAACCTAGCCTGCGCCAGTGTCTGATTTCATTTTCACAAAGACCCTTTGAGGTTGTCAAACTGGACTACATTTCCCATCTTCCCTTGCAATGAGCCTTTATGGCCAATGCTTGCAGCTGGTCGTGAAAGCAGCTGGTTTCAGATTTGGCTCATAAAAACCTTCAGCGTGAACCTCACTCTCTTATTCAACTGCAGGCAGAGGATCCAGCAGTGAGGTCCGAGGAGCTGGGTGACAACAGAGTCACCAGACAGGAGGAGCCTGGGTCCCTGAAGGATTGCATGGGGCAGAGCCGTCTCCCTCCCGCCAAGCTCCTGTGGACATCTAGGCTGGCTTCACCTTACACCCAAACACCACGCGTCGGTGGCTGCTGAGCAGCACCTGGGTGACACTTTCGCTCACAAGTGTTCACTGAGTGCAGATGTGTCCTCTGCACCGACCCACAGCCGAGCCGAGGCGCTGTGCTCACACCTCCCTGATGACACACCATGCCGCATGCTCATGCTCGTGCTTTGTCCCCACGAGGCTGTGAGTCCCTCGGGAGAGGGGTCTGTGTCGCCCTCATCTTGGTGGCCTCAGCAGCCAGTCCCTACGAGATCCCAGGGCAAGTTCATTCCGTCCAGGGGAGAGTGGACATCTGCACCCCTCACGGCCTCTCTGTCCCTAAAACTGGCCAAGAAAATCCAACTCTTTCAGGCCCTGAGGGAAGAAATGACGTCCGTCCCCAGGGTCACACAGAGGCAGGACGTGGCAGGCTCAGCCTGCCCAGGGCTGCTCACTGGGCAGCTGCCACTCAGGAGTGAATCCTAGTGCCCTCCTGGGCTTGGAGAAAGGCTAGGAGAGGTGGTAAAAGGGGTCTTTGGGGGCAGCCACAGATGCCCCTGAGCCCCCAAGGTGACCTCTACCAGCCTCACTGCCCCGTGCCCTTCCTCCAGCAGCAGAGAAGTGTCCCAGAGCCGTCCCTCCAGCCTCCGCCTGCTCTGCCTGGCAGCCTGGGCGTCCACATCACTCAGTATTTTTAGCTTCACCACCTGGCACCTGTGGTCACTGACTCTGCCCAGCCTGGCCTGGCGGTATCCCCTCTTTAAGCCTTAAAGGGCCAGAGTCGGCCAGCTAGGAGGGAGACCGGTGTCTCAAAACAGGCTGCCGAACCCCCAGAGCAGGAGGCAGAGGCGCCTCTGGTACAGAGGTCCCCAAAGTGGGAGGCGGGAAATAGAGGGGGGGCAGGATCTCACCGCTGCCTGGCCCTTAGGCCTGTGCCTGTCCCTTTCTGGAGCTTCCCAAATGCCAGTTGCTCACCAGACGGACGGGTTCACATGCCACATCCATCCCCTCCAAGACCCGAGGCACCAGACGCAGGGCAGGGCCTGGGTGTGTGTTGATAGCCGTCTGCCCCGGGAGGTCCAGAGACTCATTCATTCATTCCCCGGGCGTTCAGAGGGCCCCGGCTGCACGCTTCTGTCTGCACACTACTGTCGCGAGTGTCGTGCCCGGGGTTCAGGGGGTGCATCTGCATGCACGGCTGACTCCCTCGGGCCCCTAACACGCCCCGTGAGCCTTCACGTCCTCTCATTGCTTGCTCGGCTGTCCCTGGGTCAGGTCCTCTGCTCAGCTGTCAAGGTCCTTTGAGGTCTGTGCCCCCACCCTGTCCTTGTCACCACCATCCCCGCCTAATTTCTTTTTCAAACCCCTGAGCCGTTGCTCTTGCAGTTCCCACCTTCCTGGGTGGATGTCCCTTCTCGGGGGTCAGTCACCCCCTGGGAGAGCATCGGCACTTTTCTTTGGTCCTGGGGATTGGGCGCAGGGGTGCTGTATGGCTGAGCCTCCTCAGGGTCTTGCTAAGTAGCCCACGCTGGCCTGGAAACTGCCATCCTCCTGCCTCGGCCTCCCCAGTGGCTGGGGCCACAGGCATGGGCCAGCAAGATCCGCACTTTGAGATAGAGCTGGAGGGGGCTCGAGGCTCCGGCCTTTCCTCCTGAACCCCTTGTCTCTGCAAGCCCACTCCCACCAGGGAGCCTGTCACGCTGTGCCCAACCTATCTGCCTATCTCTGTCTCTGTGCATAGGCTGTCACCCCGTGAAGAGCTCCGGTCCTCTGCTGAGTCTCCCAGGGCTCTGGGTGCCCAGTCACCATCACAGAGTAAATGAACAACCAGGCCAGGGAGGATCTTCCCATTGCACAGATAAGAAGACCAAGGCCCACAGAGGGGAACTCATGGACCCAGGCCCCGCACAGGGAGTTGAGGAGGAAACTGGTGCAGGCTGCAGGAGCCTGCACCAGGCCTCCCTGTCCTGCTGGGGGCCTGGGGGGGGGGGTGCACCGGACTTGTCCCCGCACCTGCCCTTCTCCCCACCCAAGCCAGTGCTGACTCAGGCGGTGATGGAGGCTGGGCTCCCTGGGCAGAGGTGACCCCTGTCACATTGTCCAGCCATGCCCAGAGTCCGTGGGCATAGCCTGGGGAACACACTCAGCTGGAGGCTGGGCTTCCCTGCAGGTGGGGGTGGGGAGAGCTGGCAAAGGGATAATTATAGTCCTCGGGCTGTGAAGCCCCACCGCCCCCGCACTGCCCCTCTCCCCACTTAGGTATGTCGAGCTCACACCTGCGCCCACAAACCTGCACACGCACTCACAACCACACACATGCACCCCCAAACACCAGTCACACAGCCGCACATACTTCTATCATTGCAGGCGCCTGCCGTGTCTTCCACACACACACACACACACACACACACACACTTTCACTTATTAATTCAACAAAGACTGAATATCTGGTCGGTGCCAGTGGCTGTAGGAAGGGAGGGAGGCTCTCAGGCAGGGTGGACCTGGGGCTCCCAGAAGGCCTTCCTGGAGGAGGAGGCACTGCGCGGGGCCTGGTGCAGGGAGGTGGGGAAGGGAAGCCTGGGCAGGGTTTCCCTGGGACCCAGGGAGTGGGAGGAGATGGGCAGTGTCTTCCCGGGTCCCAGAGGCCTGGAACACCCAGCCGAGGCTGGACTTGATCCTGTGGGAGCGAGAGAGCCATGGAAGGCTCCGAGCAGAGCAGCCACCTGGGAGGGACAGGGAGGTCCCTCTGGGGCTAGGGTGGGAGAGATGGGGAGAAGGCTTTGGTGACAACGGGGCTGAGTCTGAGCGGGATGGTGGAGGGGGACGGCGGACTCGCAGGCAGCCCCTCCAGGCCCTGGGCTCTGCCCCCACCCCACCCACCTGCTGCCCACAGCAGACACTGACCTCTGCAGGGGGACCTCCTCCAGCAGCTCCTCTTCCTCCTTCCTGTGGAAGCAGACCAAGCAGAAGGCGGGCACATCATCGGCTCCGCAGCCCAGGGGCCAGGCTGGAGGCAGCTCCAGGACAGGGCAGGGGCGGCTGGTGGCAGCCTCGGCAGCATCGTCCCTGGCCAGGGCAGGGGTCCCCGAGCCAGCATGCTCCAGGGTCAGCAGCCTGTCGGCCTCGGGGCCCCGCACCTGCCTGCCCGCCACCTGCGCCTTCTCGCTCAGGTTGCCCGTCGCCTCGGTGGGTGAAGAGCCTGTGGCTCTGTCCCTCAGGAGCGCCTGTCCTGACCCCTGACAGGGTTCCAGACACAGTGCTGGGCCTTGGAAAGCAGCTTGTCACTGCCTGGGCTCTGGGGTGGCTGGCAGGTGGCCACAGGTCCCCTCCCTGCCCCTCTGGAGCCCTCAGCCCCTCAGCCGTCCACCCTGCAGCTGTCGATGGGAGGCAACCCTGGGAGGACAGGCCTGCAGAGGACCTGCCCTTCTGTCCATCTGTCTGTCCAGCTGTGCTCCTCCCTGTCCAGGCAGCCCACGCAGGGATGGTTTCCCTAAGAAAGTTTGCTCTCCCGTGTTGGGGTGGGTGGCACCAGTGGCCTCCAGGAGATCGGGCTGAGACCTCCAAAGCGAAAGGTGGGTGAGGACCAGGGGAGGCTGGCGCGATGTCCACGCTGGGCCCCAGGAAAAGTTCTGGCCCCCGCAGTCCGCGGCCGGCTCCCCGGACCGAGGCTCCCCGGGCGCGCGGTGCTCCTGCTCCCTGCGCTCCAGTGGCGGCTCCGCGGCCGGCTGGGCTGTGGGTATTAATAGCTCCACATTCACGCTGCGAAGCCGGGAGGTTAACTCCTTCCCTGCCAGAGCACCGAAGGCAGGCGGGCGGGCGGGCGGGCGCGGCCACGCCGGCCACGGCGAGGCGACAGGGACGGTGCCTCAGTCCTGCACCCGCCCTGAGCCGGTGCCGCAGCGGGACCCTCACTACCGCCTCCTGCCCGCGAGCCCTTGCGCAGCCCCGGGCACCTGGATCTTGGTCAGCATCCCAGGCTACCTGGATCCTTCGTGTGCACCTTCAGGAGGCTGCACAGGACGGTGGGCTCAGGGTGGCACCCCTGGGATGAACAGGGGTCCCCAAATCACAGAGTCCCTCCATATTCCCCTAAAAATCATCTCTGGCAGCCCTGGGTCCAGATCCATCACTAGCTTCTGTGGGAACCAGAGATGAAGCTGATACCGTGCCTGGAGAGCCTAGGGAGGATTCAGAGCCAAAACCGAGTTTGCCTGAAGAATGTTTACTGAGCACCTGCTTTGTGCCAGGCACTCGGCAAGGGAGAGGGCAGGTGTTCTTGTTCCCTTGGCAGGTCAGCAAGTCACTGCAGGAGGTTGACGGTGCCCTTGACCAGGTGCCCCAGCCTGCAGTGAGGGTCCAGGCCGGGCTTCAGCCCCGCTCACCTCGGCTGCAATTTACAACACGCAGGATCATTCACAGTGGCCTGGGAGCCCCGGAAACAAAGGAAACAGATATTCAGACCGTGAAAAGTGCTGCTGCGGGGAAGAGAGTTTCCACCAGCAGGAGAATGAGAAGGAATCAGGCAGAGATCTGGAGGGAGAACATTCCAGAAGGAGGGACCTCTGAAATCCAGAGGCAAGAACGCGTTGGCACTTGAGGGAGAATGTGAGAAGCCAAGAAGATCTTTGGGGGTGCGCCTTGCAGAGGGAGCAGGGGTTTCCTGGGGCCCAAGGGGTGGGGGGTCACCAGCTGAGAGAATAGAGCAGGTGAAGCCCGCAGCGAGATGAGGTGGATGGCACATGGCAAAGTAGAAAGAAGACAGAAGGTGGAAGTGATGGGAGAGAGATTTAGGAGATTCTTGTCCCAGAGTTGCCTCTCTGAGGTGGAAGGGTGATGGAGGAAAATGGAAATGGAAACTCGGGTCAGAGTTGAGGCTATGGAGACCGGCAGGCAGAGGCTAGGAAGGAGCCATCTGTATTTGTTGACCTGGATTCTACTGGCTGGGTGAGCAGGCCTGCGCTTCCTTGGCCAAGAAACGCTGGGAGATGGAATCAGAGCCACCACGTACAGTTGTTTAGGCTGTGCACTGTACAGCCCAGGCTGGCAGACAGGCGGGGGCTGATGTCCTTTCTCCTTCTGCTTTGCCAAGCCTTGTACTTTGGTATGGCGACAGCGTAGAAGTTTGCCTTGTACTAATAGTCCACCCCAAAGTTACCTTTTTCTTACACATAAGTTTGAAGGGTGCCTTTTCCTGTTGGTTCACCAAGAGGGGTGCCTCTTTCTAATTGGTCTGTTTAGGGAGCTCTTTTTATATAGTTGGTCCTCTTAGAGGGGCACCTTTTTTTGAATTGTTCTCCCCAAAGGGGGTGATTTCTTCCTGCCAGGTTCAAAGGGGGCCCCATAAATTGGGCTGAGGGAGAAGACCCAGAGGCCACCGATTCTAGTGCTGGGGACCTGCTCTGTGGCTTTGGATCAGTCCCTGTGTCTCTCTGGAACCACAGACTCCCTGACCAGCACAGAGGAGGAGAATGAGCCCAAACAGGGCCTCCCTGAGGTCCGCAGTGACACAGGGCTGGCACCCCGTCTCACCGCTCCACCTGCCCTGCTCCAGCGTCAGCGTGGGACACCGGGGACTTGGTATTTCTTATGGGGAGGCCAGAGAATGAGAGGGGAGAAAAGGGAGGGGGAGGGGGAAGGGAAAGGCCACCGTGCTATGGCTCCTTGGGGTGGAGGTCAGAAGGGGCCAGGGCGGCCCTGGCCTCTAGGTGTCCCTTCCCTGCTCCCCCAGGCCCCATGGGACGGTCATTTGCAGATCTTAATTATTCAGGAGGTTGTGCTTTCCCGGGTTTTAATGCACTCTGATGGCGTTCTCTAGCTAATGGGGAAAATCGATAGGTTTTAATTCTTTGTGGCTGTGAAGCTCTGTCTGTCTCCTGTTTGGGTGGCAGGGGCCTAGCTCTCCAGGAGGCTGGGGTCCTCCTTCCTTCTCCCACCCCCACCCCCACTCTCCTCTGCCGCCAATCTGGGAAAGGAGAATTGGAGTCCCAAGGCCACTTCAAACTCTGCCCCAAACACGATGGAGAGACTGAGCCCTTGAATCTCAGCCACTTGCTGCCCTCCAAGAGGGATGGGGGCTTCCCCAGCCTCCGTGCCAGACCCATGGGCCAGATGTGCAGTTGGCAGGGGTAGCTAACCAGCTTTGGGTGGGGGCAGGAGTCAGGCCATAGCCCTTGGCCCTGGGGTTTTGGAACCTGGGGGGCTTTCCCCTCCCCACCACTCAGGGTCAGCTATGGTCTACCTCCTAGGGTGCGTATGGGGAGGAGTCTGAGCCCCTACATTTCCAGAGTTTTAAACGTAGATTTCTGACGTGACATTTATGGGCGGTTATATATATATTTGGGCATGGCTGTTTCTCTGCAGGACCGAGAGCTGAGAGGTTCAGTACCATCCTCAGGAGCTCATCTCATCTCAAAACCACATCCTCTTCCTGAGCTGGTGTCCTTTAAGATTCCTGTAATTATCTTGTGAACGGAACAACTCTATTGTACTGCATGTGCATGTTATTATTTATTTATTTATTCATTTTCTGGTACCTGGGGAGGGAATCAAGAGTTGCTTTACCATTGAGCTGCACGTCCTCAGCCCTTTTTAATTATTTTATTTTTGAGACAGGATCTTACTAAGTTGTTGAGGTTGGCCTTGAACTTGCCGTCCTTCTTCTGGGATCACAGGTGTGCGCCATGACAACAGGTGTGTGTGTTTTCAAAGTGTTAATTAGGCAAGGGGAAACATGTAACATGCATGGTTCTCTTGATAATGCTATTTGTGTGGGTGTGTTTTTTTTTTCTCAATGTTTCCAAAACATAACCTCAATAAAAAGATAAATAAATAAAAGGTGAGGTTGTGCCCGCTTCCTGATGGCCCAGGATTTTCCTGATAGCCTGGAGCCCACCTTGGTGGCCTGAAATTGTTCTGACCACCTAGAAGGGCTGTCCATGGGGGCCCAACCCTACTACCACGGTCCTCTGGAACCAGAGTCTGGACTGAGAGGATGATGACTATCAGGCCACAGGGGTCCTCTCCACCTAGGCCCTAATGGTCCCTACCCCTCCTACCCAGGCCCCAGCAGACACCAGGCCCAGAGGCTCTGGGGGTGCAGACCTGGCTGGAGTCCCTCCCACACTTAGGCTAAGTGCTCCCTTCTTACACCCTTGGATTCTCCCTCTCAGACTCAGGCATGCAGAGGCTGACTTTGTCCTTCTCCCCAATTCCTGGCACACTGTTATTCTTGGTCCATGTAGGGTCCCTCCCTCATTTTTTAATTTATCATTTTTTGGGGGGGTGCCAGGGATTGAACTCAGGGGCACTTGACCCCTGAGCCCCATCCCCAGCCCTATTTTGTACTTTACTTAGAGGCAGGGTCTCACTGAGTTGCTTAGGGCCTCGCTTTTGCTGAGGCTGGCTTTGAACTCTCGAGCCTCCTCCCTCAGCCTCCCGAGTCCCCGGGATGACAGGCGTGCGCCATGGCTCCTGGCTGCCCCTTATTTTTGTCCAAGTCTCCATTCCCCTTTTCCCCCTGGAATACTTGGCAGGATGGCGTGGAGCACAGAGCCACTGACAACTTAAAGGTCCCATTCCTTTAATGGCTCTTTCCCCCTGGGACCTCTGAGGCTTGGATCAAACACTTTCCCCTTTGACACACCCAAGTATGGCTGGTATTTTTCAAAATTCTTCACTAAAGAACCGATTGATCACCTGGGACAGAATCCAGCTTGCTCATCCATAGAGGGAGAAGCACATACTGAGATGACCAGCTCTCATTTATTTGGCTTCCTTTTCTATTTATTTTTTTGCACATGCTATGCAAGTGCTCTGCCACTGAGCCACAACCCCTGGCTCTCATTTCAAATTCAAATCCAGTGCTGACGGGATGCTCACCCCAGACTGGATGAGATGCTGGGCACTACATGTGGGGGCCCAGATTTCCACAGAGGAAAGGGTCCCAAGTATAGGGAACCCTCAGCGCCATGTGAGTAAGAGATGACATTTCTCTTTCTGTTAATTAAGGTACTGCTGAGCTGCTGTAACAAAGAAGCCCCACATCCCAGACTCAAACAAGTCTTCTAACAAAGTAATCAGAAGCACGTGGCAAAGTTTTATTTCAGGTTTGGCATGAGGAAAAAGGCTTGTAACCTGGCTGGTGCCAAGAGCCCTTTCTCCCTTATAGGAGAGTGATAGTCCCTGTTTGACCAGGCTCAAGAAGAAAGAAAGTCTGATTCCAGGTTATTAGAGTGCCCTCCTGACAGCGAAGTGGATGGGAAACTAGTTTCCTTAGAAGCCTGACTTCAAGTTCATCAGAGTGTTTCTGAAGCATCTTGTCAAGAATGCCAATGTCTTCCCAGAAAGCATTTTTGGAAATTAAACCATCTTGAAAAAAAAAAAAAAGTGATGTCCTTAACCAGGTTTGATACTGTTTTTCCTGATCCCAGGTGGGATCTGTTTCTCAGGTAGTAGCCCGAGGTGATTATTCCTCTTGGCTGAAGCTGCCCTAAGAGCATCCCGTTCTCCTTTAAGCCCTCGAGGAGGCAAGATGGAGTGATGCCCAAGTGCTGACCCTCACGTCCACTCATTTCTTTTTTTTTTTAAGTCTTTTTTTTCTTTTAGCTGAAGATGGACACAATACCTTTATTTTATTTATTTATGTGGTGCTGAGGATCAAACCCAGTGCCCCACGCATATGAGACAAGTGCTCTACCGCCGAGCCAC